TAATCCTAATCCTAATCCTAATCTTCACAATAAGAGCGTTGAATTTTCAAGATGAATACATAAGGACTTGAGTCTTCCATATTCCCAAACAATATTCGTCCCATACAGCTGGCGACCTTCTTTAGAGATGCAGCAGATTTGGGTTTATAAACTGCTTTTTACATAAAACATGAACACTTTTTTTTTTTTAAAAAAAAAAAAAGCAAAGCGCTTTTAAAAAAAAAACAAATCCTACCAGCGAGGATGATAGAAAAACACATCTACATTACTTTGGAATAATGAAAGTAAGACCATTGTAGACCAAGAACTCATCATTGATTTTCACTTCATTGCGCCCCTTGGTTAAGCCTGCTAATCTTACGAATAGCCAGTTTGAAAATAATGAAAAAAAGCATTATCTTTCTATGTGCATTTTGGAACACTCCGTTCAGAAGAACAAAGGTATCGTTAGAAAAGTTGTTCATGTGTTACGCTCCCTCCCTCCCCAGCAAGATATTTCCCATATCAAAGTTCAGTGAGTAAATGGAACGTCCTCCTCAGTTTACCTTCATAGCCTTTCTAAAAATATCATAATCCCTAGCAAGACCCTATTTTAAGAGTTTCGTATTTGAGGGGTATATCCATGGGAGGGTTATTTTTGGCATGTGTGCATGTGTTCAGTTTCAGATGGCTTGCATAGCTAGTACTGTGTACATTTTTATTCAGAGCTACTTCACACAGTCTAAAGGGAACACTCCGGGATTTAAGGACCACAGCTTAAAGATGTAGGGTATAGGAAAACGTTCTTTTAGAAACAGTAGTTTGTGCCTGGAATAATTCACCATTTTCTCAGCTTATTGGATCTGATTTTATAAAACCCGAGCTGAGATTTTTCTCCAGGGACCTTTAATGAACTTGCCACTTTCAATAAACGTTCATAGAAATTCTGCAGAAGGGAAACTCATATGAAGGACTTTTATCTTCGCAAAATACTAAAAAAAAAAAAAAATGAAAAAATCTTCACCGGAAGACTAAACAAAACTGTCAAGATGTGAAATTCAATCAATACGTGCAATTGAATTATAACACAAAATGGTCACATTACAGATATGCTATCCGGACATTTGGTTCTTTCGTTCTGAAAAAAAAAAAAGAGAGAGAGAGAAATCACTAGATTTAGAATGTGAATTCTAAAAACTTTCTGAAAACAAAGATGGAAATTAAGGTGGTATCTTCCAGTCAACGCGTAATTCATTTTGGAACAGAATTACATAGCACCCATGTCTACACCTCTAAGAAATTTCCATTTTTTCACATTAAAAAATCCAGATACGAAGCCGAAGCTGCCTTCTTCGCCAACCTAAAGCTGTGTGACTTCAACATCATTGACACTCTTGGAGTTGGAGGTTTTGGCAGAGTTGAACTGGTAAGTAACTTTTTTTTTTTAATTTCTAAGAGCGCAAAATCTGTGTGGGATTTTTATTTTATTATTTATTTATTTTGGTTTTGCTCACTTGAGGTAAATACTGCATCCCATTACAAAAGGAACGATAAATATTATAAAGAGAGGTTAATAAAGCTATCAACCACTGCAGAACTTTCTATTTAACTTTGTACAGTAGTACATAAAAATGAAACTGAAAAAAATCCTGTGACTGGTATGTAATTTCTAATGTGCTTTTATTCATACTAAAACTGGATGAGACATGGCTCAAGCAATATTTTAAAACACGGATTCCTACGAGTTCTAATAGAATTTAAGAAGATCTGATTAGATAGATAGATGATAGATAGATAGATAGATAGATAGATAGATAGATAGATAGATAGATAGATAGATAGATAGATCAACCAACCGACCGACAGACAGACAGACAGACAGACATTTTTTCCTTAATGCGATTTGCTTTGTTCTTGGTATTTACAACTAAATTCAAAGTGCATTTACAATTTGCAAAGGAATTATGAAATAAATGACAATATTTTAGTGAACTTTTAACTTATCCTTTCAGTTTTGCATATTCTGTTTTTAAACTATTTATTTTATGCGTTTACCTGGCAGATGTAAAGATATACATTTTGTTAAATATACTAAATATGAGCTATAGAGGTAATGTAAATACAATTATGTTGAGCTATATGTAGCCAAAAGCAGAGAAGGAAAATATCAACAATCAAAATGTAGTTTTCTTGCTAAATCTAATCCTTTGGCAATATAAATATTTGTTAAGAGAAAGTGAAATGTAGCTGAGTAACTGTTTGTGCAATTATGTAAACCCACTGGCTGACATCAATAAAGAGGACTCCCGGAATATGACACCGGCAGACTTAAGGAAACCCTATTAAGTAAAGGGATATCCTTTCCATAAAAGTAGCACAAGTAAGCATGCCTAACATTAGCCAATTCAGCAAGTGAGATAATTGTAAACATATAATTTATAAACATGCAATGCAACCCCATTGTTATTTTTAAAATTCTGATGCGTTTCATTAAATTAACTCAGCAATGATTCTGGTCAAAGTACATGTTGAAAGCAGCCATAAAGCAAATCAGAAAGACCATAAATATAATAGGGAGGCGGGGGGAGCCGAGGTGGCCCAGTGGTTAGAGTGCAGTACTGCAGGCTACTTCTGCTGACTGCAATTTGGCAATTCAAATCTCACAAGGCTCAAGGTTGACTCAGCCTTCCATCCTTCCCAGGTCAACAAAATGAGAATCCAGATTGTTGGGGGCAATATGCTGACTCTGTAAACTGCTTAGAGAAGGATGTAAAGCACTGTAAAATGGAATAGAAGTCTAAGTGCTACTGCTAAATGCTGTACATTACAGCTAAATGATATACTCTAATAACATCTGCATGGACATGTCCCAGCCTATCACAGAGGCATGGGAAATGCCATGTTTTCAAGGCTCATATAAAGGATCATGGGGTTGGCCAGATCTGGGGAGATGTTGCTCTGAAGAGCAATCATCAACAAAGAAGGCACACTTCCTAAGTCTCTTTAGATAGTATTCTTGAAAGTTGAGAGAGGAAGGATGCCCACTCAAGCTGATTTTATGGGATGGGCAAAAACATTGGAAAGACGCTAGCACCTTGGACAGCCTTTGGGGCTTTGAAGGCAAGAACCAGCACTTTGAATTGTACCCAGAAGCTCAATAGAATGCAGTGCAACTCATGTAGCAGAGGAGTTACATGAGTGCACTAAAGTGTAGCCATAATTGTGTAACCACTGCATTCTAGACCACTGTAATCCAAGCCATATTTAACCCAAAATTTCATCTACTCATGTGCCTGCCATCAATTTTTAATTTAATAGATACTGGTAGGTAGGTAGGTAGGTAGGTAGGTAGGTAGGTAGGTAGGTAGGTAGGTAGGTAGGTAG